ATTTGGAGAAATTACGTTTGGTCAATATCCGATTTCAGCTGCCTTTCCCCCATCGGCAGCAGTTTCCAGTCGCAAAAATTACGCCATCCATTCCAGTGCTTGAGGCATCGGTAGAATCCGTGACCTAGCGGATCATCCAAGGCGGAGCATCGCCTCACCATTCGAGATTGACCTGCAGCTCCCGATCCAGGAACTGGGAGCTACCGCAGCCTTTCCAGCAGAGCATTCCACGAGCTTTGGTGTGGCGGTTGGTGCTCGTCTCGTAGGCGCTCTATCGCCTTCTTACACTGGAAAATGGGTCACCATGATTGCACCTTGGGAGAACAGGCAGTTGACGCGGGGCTCGGGAAGGAATTATTATCTCGAATCGAATTATCCGTGATTCCCAATCAGCTCACCCGTTGAGCGAACATCGCTGGCTCCTCATCGGGTCCACAGTGGAGTGGCTCTCCAAGGAACGTACGCATTTTTACCGGGAGGTAAGTTTTGGGGAGGATGAGCGGTCGTTTCGTGATAGCGTACCATTTCTTCATTGCATCTGAAGAGGAAATCTCCTTTGAACGAACAGATTTTATCTTCTCTCCATCTCGCTCCCGAGTCGACAGAGGACGTTGTGAGGGCACCTGATTTAACGAACTCGGCCAGAGGCATCGCATGTTGGAGGTTCGTCGTGAACATAGGGATGACCGGTACTCCCGTAGCCTTCGCAACCCTCGCGAATCCGTAACGAGACTGCCACTCAAGTCTGTAAGGGAAACGATATGTGTCCGTGAAGTCTGCAGTTAGGAGAGTCAGGAGAATAGTATTCTTCCCGCCGAACATCCGATGGCGAATTAAGCGTCCGACTCACTCGTAGTTCTTGCTGAAAACGCTCTCATAGGCACCGCCGGGAGCCACAAGACTCAATCCGCCGTTTCTCAAACTGTCTTCGAAGCTCTGTCGGTCACTGGTGAGGTCGAAGAGCTGCAACCATACCAGGAAGATACCGTAGAGAGATCGACTTCACCGAAATAATCATCATGTCGAATAACTATCTGGAGGATTCAGAGCAGCCATCGCTTCCACACCTCGCAAAATCCTCTCAGAAATGCCGACCTATGAAGAATCACATCGGCGCAGCCTCCCACCGAACGTCCTTCCTTGAGACCGACGTAGCTCATCAGGAACGGCATGTCCACAGGGAGACCGGGACCGTGGTAGAAAACCAGGAGGGCACCATTTTTCGGAAGATTTTTAATCCCGTGCACCTCAAAGCCTGATTGCGCGAGGCAGAAAAATACATCAGAATTTCTCCAAAGACGATCCAACGTAAAATCCAGCATTCTCTATCTTGCCCGAAGACTCACCGTGTAGGAACCTGAGGGTATAGTACAGGATGTTCAATATGAGCTTCTTGAATTCACTTCTGAACGGAGCGTCTTTCGTTCCTCCCGTGATGAAACAATACGCTGCG